AGTCAAGTTGACTGGAGTAACAGGTACCCCAATGGTAATGCATTCTTGGTGTGTCTGTGAAAATATTTCTGGAAGAGATGAGACTGTAGACAGTAAAGAAGACTCACCCTCATCAGTATGGACAGGGATTGCCCAAGCCATTAAGTACCTAAATGAAACACAAGGAGAAAGGAAGGGCCGATTTGTTCTCTCTCTCTCTCTTTTTGAGCTATGCCATCCATCTTCTGCCGTTGGGCATCAGAGCTCTTAGTTCTCAGGCTTTTGGCCTCGGACTGAATTAACCATCAGCTCTCTGGTTCCTTAGCTTGCAGATGGCATATCATAATCATAGGACTTCTTGGCCTCCACAATTGTGGAAGCTGATTTCCATAATTCTCCTCATGTATCTATATACATCCTATTAGTTCTGTACCTTCGGAGAATCCAAAACACTATTAGATACCAGACAGTTTTTCAGGTGGTGTGGAGGACAAAGATTCTTGTTAGTTTATTCTTTCAAGGACTAGAGTACATATTATGTTTTTTTCATTTTTATTTTATTCTATTTTTAGTTTCAATACATTACAATCCCTCTGCATCAGCCTCCCGAGTAGCTGATAGCGCAGGAACACACCACTCTGTCCAGCGTGCCTAGCTTTTAAGGGGGCCCAGGAATCAAGTTTGGGCCTCTTGTACATCTTTAGGCTGCTGGGGGCAACATCAGCCAGCCTGCACTATGGTGGCTAGGCCAGATTATGTACTATTTATGGCGGAGTTGAGTTAGATAGAGAAAAGGGAAGATTAAAAATGAAGCAGAATGGAATATGTTCCCAGAGTTCTAGATCTTGCAATATAGGGTAAGGTTATTGGAGTGAATATGAACAGATGCTTGAATAGCTTCTAAAAACCTTCTTTCAGAAAAATCTACAGGAGGAACTTGTTTCCCTGTGACTTGTCTCTTAGGTTTGGCAATATGGAATTGCTATTGACTGAACGTTCTGATTAGGGAACTTTGGGTTAACTGCAGTTTTACTGCACATGCAAATACTTGCCTCTGTCTCTATTTCATTGGCCAGTTACTTAAAATTCTTCATGAGGTGAAAATCAGATGTCTAGGCTATCAAGGTATTTCACACATTCTACAAATTTCAAGTGATTTGCTACAATCACTTGAAAACTGTCAAATACAGTATCCTACTACTGTTCATTCTTAGCCAGTCATAACTTTAATGTATTCCAGGATGCTTATCTTTGTATAAAATAGTTCTATTCTGACTTTATTTTTCTATAGTTAATGTTTTTAAACATTTTGCGATTGGCCCAGTGTGGTGGTGCAGTCTGTGGTATACTGGACTGAAGTGCTGAGAAGCCACAGGGCCTGCTGCGGCAGGTTCCGATCCCTGGGCTGTCAACCTGAAATGTGCCTAGGGATGCACCCAAGACCCTAATGAACTGCTGGGTTGGAAAAAAGAACTTGTTGTGATGGGATCCTATCTAGGGTACATTTCTCAGGCATGTGCATACATGTGCTCTCTATCATGAATACATAAACACACAACAAATATCTTCATAAAATAATTACTATCTTTTTTGGGGGGGAGAGGTTTTTGCTATAGGGTGCATGTGCTCGCCAGACAGACAGAGAGAGTTAGAGAGACAGAAAGCGAGAAATCACCCCCCAAGGGGGATGGCCACGCCACAATCCCTTCTCCTCCATTCTCCTCTCGGGATCTTGGGCACTCACGCACATGCGCCCGGCGTGAGTTTAAGCCACCAGGTCTGGGACTTGAACTGCGGTCGACTACATGGGAGTCCAGTGACATAGCCGTTACGCTAACTGCTGGTCCCAATAATTACTATCTTGAAGATTTTGGAGAGAGAACTTTTCTAACCCTTTGTATGTTTAGCTTGACTTCTGAGTCACATCTTGGGAACTCACTGCAATTGTTTTTGTTGTCTTGAATATTAGCTTCAATTCACTTTTCTTACATATCATAAGACCTGGGACTAAGAGTTAGCAGAAATGCATTTCAATGGAGTTTGACAGTTATTAATGGGTGCATCTTTTACTCTCATGGGAATTAGGTTTATTTGTCTGTCTAATAGGGGATTGAGGAGGTAGCAAAGGTTTTACTCTCTTTGAAATATTACTCTTCCATATGTTAATTTTGGGCTGATCACTTTTCTTTATTTGGTTATAATTTACATATTAATTTAATTGAAAACATTTTAAAAGGTCTGTTCTTTTAGCTTTTGAACAATTTGTGACTGAATGCAAAATTAACTTGCATGAATCTTTTTCTTCAACTGTAGTACTAGAAGGCAAAAATGATTTTGTAGAAATGTGTGCATTTGCATGTTTAAATGGGGTCTGATTTACAGTGTGCCAAGTACCATTACTGACAATTATGTAAGCTTTGAAATGAAATTATTACCTAGAAATATATGTGGCATATGTTCTATTCCAATTTAAAAATATGCTTATGGTAATTTTTTTAAAGAGAGATTTTGCTATAAGGTGTATGTGCTTGCCAGAGAGAAAGAGACAGAGACAGAAAGCAAGAAATCTCCCCCTTGTAGGGGGATGGTCAAGCTACAATCACTTCTTTATTATCCTCTTTGGATTTTGGGGACACACACATACAAACCCAGCATGAGTTTGAAGTCACTGGCTCCGGGACTTGAACCATGGTTGGCCATGTGCGAGTCCAGCGATCTAACAGTTTTGTTACCACTGGTCTTGCCTATGGTAATTAAAAAAAAGAATTCTACAAACCCTGAGAAAAATCTAAGAATCATATAAATTAATTTGTAATTTCTTTTTTTTTTGCATAGGAATAATGTCTCAACTTTTGAATGTCACGTAGTTTTAAATCTCATTTCATGTTGTAATAACAATAATAACAATCATATTCACAGTTCACACTTACAGTTTTTACTAGTTAACAAGCTATTTAGCAAGTTCCTTATGAGAATTATCTTTTTGTTCTACTTTATACTCTCCATAGCCAAGCTGCCCTATTTAACATGTACATGCTTATTGGTACTACATACAGACACAGAGAGACAGACAGACAGACACACACACACACACAATAAAAGAAACAAAAAGAAAAGAATATTTCAAAAATAGCCATTCTGGGAGTCACTGCTTTGGCCGCCGCCATTTTGGCATTTTCTCAGAAGCATCCCTGCCATGAGGAAGAGGCTCTGTTGAATTCCATGCAGACTTTTTGGAGACGGTGAAGCTATCTGTTGGAAACCTGCCCAGAGAGGCCACAGCACATAGGAGCAGCTCACTCTGTGAGAAGTATGGAAAGATGCTAGAATGTGCCTTCATTAAGAACTACGGGTTTGTGCACACAAATATAAAACTGAGGTCGAGGATGCCAAATGCAACCCGCACCATTACAAGCTTCGTGTTTGAAAGCTAGCAAGAATAAGCAAAACCTTGACAAAGTTGCACATGGGCAACATCAGTCTCATCTGTACCCACAAGGAGCTTCGTATCAAATTTGAGGCCTATGACCCAGTTACAGAATGTGACATCCTGAAAGCTCATGCTTTCATACACATGGAGAAGACAGAGGATGTAGTGGAGGCCATCAGGGGCTTTAATAACAGAGTTTCAAGGTGGGATGTGCGTGGACTGAAATTCCAAGCTGCAGTTGTGCATGAAAATACACCCTTCGTGGTACCCCTTCGCTGGGACATTCTTGGCTCTGTGTATTGAGTCCCTCGGGAACCATGGACATTAGTTTACCTTGCTAAGTTTGGACCTTTTGTCCCTTTCCTATCTCTGTCCATTTTCCTCTTCTTCATAGCCTTCATCACTTCTCTAGCTTCCCATTCCTGTTCTGCTCTCCCAGCAGGCCTCACTGTGCAGAAACGGATGGGGGCTGTATCGTCTCCTCTGTGCCTCCTGCTTCCAGTGGGTGGTGGGTTTGGGAATGACTCTGGTGAAGTGTTACTGCTCTTGGGTCTCTTTTTGGCTCAGAGGCTAGACCTAAAGAATTGGAACACTTTTTTTCTTTTCAGTAAAATAAATGTTTTCCCCAAAAGAAAGCACTCTGAAGTCATGTGACAGATTTAGCAAATTCTTTTTATTTACATAGAAATGTGTACACACACTTTATATGTACACAGAAGATTCTAAGTATATATACACATATGGTTCCCACATATTTTATAATAAATAGCATTTTATTCTTGTTTCTAGATGAAAATAAAAAGATGTCTCAAAATATTACTCACTGACCACAAAATTACAAAAGCACCTGATGAACTCAGAGCAGAAACTTCAAGCCTGTACTACCACACACTAAGCCTAATACAGTTTTTACAAACAACAATCAAACACTGTGCAGCTATCACCAGTAAAAGGAGAAATGGAAATGTAAAATAAAGAACAGAGCAGTTGACTTCATGGAGAGCGTGGGAAGAGCATTTTTGTTGGTTAGGATTTATTTTCCTTTAATCTTCAATTTACTATTTTACAAACAAGAGGAAAAGAAGTTAACATCTATTGTAAAAAGAGTAACAATTCTACAAGCCTCCAGAGTTCTAGAAGCCCTTCTTATGGCCAACTGAACCTGTGCCATTTCAACGACCGTCCAGTTCTGTCATATAGGACTGCCCTTTACTCCCTCAGAGAAGATGAGGCCGGTACTGGTGGAGTGACATTTATTTGGAAGTAATTTTAACAGCCTGGTGAGCCAGGTATCTCGGTTGTCTACAGTTAATAATTAGAAATGTTTACGTATAACTCTATTTCCACATAGAGTTTGTGCCTTCATTCAAGTCATTAACTATTGCAGTAACTTAATCTCGGGGGCTAGAAATAATGGATCCATAATCCTGCAATTTCTTCCTCTCACTTCTAATTTCTTCCCCATTCCAGTCTAGGAAAGAATCAAATCACTTTCTCTCAATTTCGGTATATATATATATATATATATATATATATATATATATATATATATATCATCAAATGAATAGAAAAAGGTTCACTATGGGGTGACTACACATGTCATTTCTGATAGTCTCATGGCATTGACATCGGCAAAGGAGTACAAACACATCATGATCCTCATTATTAAACTGACATATACCCAGATCTGCTTTTCTAATATATCAATATTACCACTCAGATGAAAATCCTAAGGGTGGTGACCAACACAGGGCAAAGTGCTTAAATCACATGCCACTCAGCTCTAGCTTAGATGATAAAATACTTGGTTCCACTGTGGCACTGTCTTCACACCCGAGTTCTGAAACAAACGTTACCCTTTCATCTTCCATATCAACAATGGCACAGATGTGGGGAAAAGAGACAACAATAAAAAGAATTCAATGTCAGAAACACAATTCATCTATCATATACAATCTTTTCAGTTACTTTACTAAATCTGCTATTTTTAAGGGACCCTCCAAAACATATTTTAAAGGCAGGCTCACTTCAAGAGCAATGTTTGTCACATGCATAATTCGGTTCCTTCTTGTCACGCATGGGTACCATTGATGCCTCTTTCCGAAAAACAATATTCTAGAACTGAGTGATCTTACATGAAAGTGATGGTTTCATAAGAGTCTGATTCTTTAGATAAAGGTTCCTATGAAGTTAACAAACACATTTCACAGTTGAAGATTTTCCTTTCTTTTAATTTGAAAACCTGATAGGGAACTATATGGTTCAAGGCTGGAAACAAAAGGGATCCTTTACCATGAAGAGCTGGGCTTGTCTCTTGGTCTTTCTAATTAAACATCTATATGCCTTTCAGTTCATCACTGTGAAAAGATTAGCCAGAAGATAAGTATGGAGTCTCACTATGGTAATTGTAGTCAGGACAGACCTTTTGCACAAGTTTGTAATCAACACTGTAAAAGGCAATGTAAATGCAAATGACCTTGAAGGGCTTGGAGCACAACCAAGACACATGGCTCTGAGTCTGCTCCTGGTAGCAGATCTTAGACGGGTCAAAGTTGCACAGGGCGGTCTTCTTCGCCCGATCTGTTTTTTCATACTCAATGCGACAATTGAAAGATTTGGATTCCTTGGTCTCCAAGGTAGACTGAGGGGAAACCTCAAATTCCACCACTTTGGAGGGGGGTACCAAGCTCACTGAAACATTGCCCAGGCCTGTAGAATTATGTCGGAAATAAACACTGAAGGTTCCATTTCCATGGTCGACAATTTTCCCAGTGATGAGGAGGTTGAGTTTAACAGTTTTAATGTTGGAATGAAAGTCACCCCATCCAAACATTTTCTTAAATTTTCCTGTTTTCACTATTGGCCTCCGTTTAGTTCTTGCCAGTGGCTCCCCCCCCCCCGTGATATTGGCCAGCCAATCCCAAAAGTTTTCCATGCTGTCTGCATAAGCCATGGGACCGGGCTTGGGCACTGGAGACTGTTTAACAAACAGGCGCAGAGGACTGATGATCCTTGAGTGCACTACATTCCCGACCAATGTTCCTGGAGCATCTTTGTCTTCCCAGTCCAGTCCCTCCGTGGCATGTACCACTTCTTTACTGTCACAGAATAGCTGTTCGGAAAGAAGAAGGAGAAATAAGTTCTAGGTTAGGCTTTGGGCACACAAGCAGACTGAAATCAAAGCACAAGAGAAATTCTTTCAATAGTATTCAGATTCTTGCAAAAAGCATTTCACACTCAGTTGGGCTCGATGGTTTAATAAGATGAGCATTTTATTCAAGCTATGTAAGACTGTGAGTACAAAAATTAAGATGTTAGGATTAAGTTGAGAATATTCCACTTTAATAGGTCAATGTGGTTTTAGTCTCTATTTCCTAATCTTCACAATTTTATTTTCCAGATTAGAGAAAGCAACATAATTTGGCCTCATTTGATAAAATCATTACATTTGTGAGTGCTTTTCTTTCAGGCAGAAAATAATTCTAGAATGCTGAAGGTTTCTACCGAGCAGTTTGAAACACTCTGACTATAAGATGTTGATAGACTTAAATATATTTAGAAATATCAGAGCATTATTGTATTCAAAAGTTTATGACATACAATTTCATAGCTAGTGATATAATTCCATCCCTAATTCTATAACAAGAAAAGGTATGTAATTAGTACTAGGAAGTTATATGACCATTTTAGTTAAAAAAATATAAGCACTAATTTAGTTGCCTTTATAGAAACAGAAATTAATATGGAAAAGTATACTTTGAATTAACAGACTATAAGTGGAGGCCAGCAGGTGGTGTGGTGATTAAGGCACTGGACACCCACTTGGCCAACCATGGTGAGAGTCCCAGACCCAGAGGCTTGAAAAACACACTGGGGTGTGTGTGTGTGTGTGTGTGTTTCCAATATCCCCAAAGGAGAATGGAGGAGGAGGGATTGCAGTATGGCCATCCCCCCAGGGAGTGATTTCACACTTTCTCTCTCTATGTCTCTCTAAGGAGAGTACACACGCTCTAGGGCAAAACCTTAAAAAAAAAAAAAAGGGAGAGAGAGAGAGAGACTATCAATGATAAATTTTATTACAAATAAATTATGTCTTGCCAGAGTTGCTAAGAAACAGTTACATGCATGTGTTTTATGGGTCCCAGTATTTTTGTTGAAATCATAGCCACTAAGACAAAGGACTTTATTGGCATTTGATCTTCCTTTTTATTCTTTCTGTATTACAAGCATCCCCATGATTTCTAAAAATCATTTAGTTAAGTCAATACAGATTTTGAGGGACAGAATCATTATATATGAAACCATTGCCTGGAGTGAATATTTATGGATGAGTTATAAAGTCTGGAAAATAGAGGTTTCTAGTGGAAACACAGATAGCCTCTTATCTGTAATGGCACAAACCACTCTTGTAATGATTCTACGGAAAACTGTCAGCATGATGAAGCGATGAGCAAGAAGCGAGGCTGTTTATGCACTGCTTCTCTAGTCCTTTCAGACTTGGCTAAGCACTTGGCAAAACTGGCCGAAATTATTGCTTTCAATCCAATTTGAAAAAAAAAAAAAGACATAGGCAGTATTATAAATATTGCACTCAACTGTACGGTATAGGCTGATGACATGAGGTTATTGTTGGTGTGTTCACAAACGTTCAGAAGTCATAACAGAGCTTTCAGAAGTGTTTTAACCGATGCCTAGTCCCAAGATCATTTTGGAATAGGAATGTAAGGATTCAAGATGTATGAAGGGCTTTTTGTTGTTGTTGTTGTTTTCCTTTCAAGTCAGTGGAAGAAGGATGTCACATTGCATAATATATTTCTACTTTTGATTAGTTTCTTGTAGTTTTCTGGAGTTTTAAAACATCCTTTTCTACTTACTGAGGTCGATGAAAGGACAAATAGATGTGATCCATGTTTTCGCTTTTTTTTTTTTTTTTTAAGTTTTTTGACATAGGGAGTGTGTGCTCACCAGAGAGACAGAGGAAAAGTGAAAAATGATCCCCCTAGGAGTGATGGCCATACTGCAGCCCCTCCTCCTCCACTCTCGTCATGGGATTTTTGACACACATGCACATTCACCCAGTATGATTTTCAGGCCACTAGGTCCAGGACTCGAACAGCACTTGGCCATGTGGGAATCTAGAGCCCTAACCACCATGCCACTTGCTAGCCTCTCATTTTTACTTATTTAAGAACCTAAATCTATATAACCTTTTTTTTTTTTTTTTTCAGGAGATCTTACACTCTGAATGGATACTTCTTTCTTTCTCCTTATGTTGAAAGGCTGCCACATTCACCAGGAAAAGAGGAATTCTAGATCAAAATATTTCTTGATACTGTAGCTACAGCTTTCTCATTCGGAACACTCTTAATTATAACGTGCATAACCTCATTCCAATCAGTTAGTAATTGTCCTTGGAGTTCTGGACCTGACTCCTGTTGCCTGACAGCTAATACCACTTTTCTCCAGTTAGAGCTAAGGACAGATGAGTAGATAGGAAGCACCTTGTGATCAAGGCCTAAATTCTCTTCTCTGTGATCGGAAGTCCTTTTCCTTCTTTTCTTCTTCTTCTTCTGCTTCTGCTTCTTTCTTTTTTTATTTTTTAAAAGAGTAATTTATTTTACTTATTATTATTTAATTTGCATAGAGCACATGCACTTACCAGAGAGAGAGGGGGGAGAGGGAGAAAGCAAGCTGCCAGGTCCAGGACTTGGACTGCAGTTGTCCACGTGGGAGTACAATACCTTAATCACTATGCCACCTGTTGGCCCCAGCTTGCTTGTTTGCTTTCTCTCTCTCTCTCACTCTCTCTTTTCCTTCATTCTTTTCTCTTTTGTTCTTTTCTTTCGTTTGCCAAAGAGTATGTGTGCTCACTGGAGAGAGACAGAGAGAGAGAAAGAAAGTGAGGAAGCACTCTCCATGGGAAATGGTCACTCCACACAATTTCTTCTCCTATATCTCTCCTTCCCTTTGGGATTTTGAGCATGCGCATACACATTTCTGGTCTGTTTTTCAAATTGTTGGGTCTTGGACCAAACCACACGGTTGGCCATGTGGATTCCAGCTATCTTAACCAACAGGCTATGGGCTGGCCTGAGATCCTGATTCTTGTTGCCCAAGGTCTACCACCTGTTTTTAGTGTTTCTTAAGATTCACTCGGCTTAAATGCTGACAGTCACACATTTGCTGAGCAGCATCTGGTGTGCAAGAAGTCCTCCTTACTTTCTGATCTCTATGCACCAGTTCAATACAGCTTCTGAACGTCTTCCCTCACTCCTTCCTGACTTCCTTTCTCTTTCATAGGGCATGTCTCTTCTCACATGTGCTCCTCTTAAATTGTCTCTTCCCCCCATTAAAGTCTTGATTTTTAACTTTATACACCATGCTACTGCAGAACTAATATGCATTTTTCCATTCAAAAATATTTTTCTCAATTCTTTGCTAACAACACCAAACTGCTCATTTTTCTTTAAAGCATTGGTTTTTGCATTGCATATTTTCCTGAATTTTTTCTCTGCTTGGATTTTTCTTGATTCAGTACTTTCCTTTCTTTTTTATTTTACTGAAAAATCTATATACATTGAGTCCATATTCAAGGACAACTTTTGAAACCATGTAGAGTCAATTTAGCTGAACTTGCTACATTTCAAAATGATAAACTCCAACACCGTCTGAGATCCTTCTCTTATCTCTAGGATTTTTCTTGTGATAGTTCTGAGATTACACAATTAACACTAATAATAATAATAATAATGTAAATGGTCATCTACTGAGATTTCTTTTTAATGATCTAAAGATAGTCCCGGTAGTAACTCATTATAACAGAACATCACCCAACATATGTGATTCATCTAAGAAATATGAGTGTTATATATATAAAAAAAATCTAGGACCAGCAGGTGGTACGGTGGTTAAGGTGCTAGATTCCCACATGGCCAACTGTGGTTCGAATCCCAGACCTGGCGGCTTAAAAATCATGCCAGCTGTATGTGTGTATGTGCCCAAAATTCCACGAAGAGAATGGAGTAGGGAGTATGGTGTGGCCATCCTCCCTGGGGAAGGAATAATTCCTTACTTTCCCTTTCTCTGTGTCTCTCCAGAGAGAACATGTGTCCTATCACACACACACACACACACACACACACACACACACACACAGAAAGAGAAAAATCTAAGTAACCAAACAGATAAACTGAATGAGATCCCTCACTCTGGCAAAGGTCTTCAAACTCTTTAAAAAGACTTTCCATATACGAATTTAAAATGAAACTTGATTAAAAAAAATTCATTCTAACATTTTTCTTCAGTTACGAACCTGTTCAAAAAAACCCTTGACTTTTTTTTTCCTTTTCTAATTTTGCCAGAGAGCACATGTGCTAGACAGAGAGCAAGAGTGAGAGCAAGAGAGAGAGAAGGAACCTGAGGAAGCACCCCACAGAGGGCATAGTCATGCTTCAATCCCTTCTCCAGGTCTCCTTCCTGTTAAGATTTTGGGTGCACACACACATGTGCCCAGTGTGTCCCTCAAGCTGGCTGGTCCAGAACTCAAACGATAGTCGCCCATGTGGGATCTAGCCACCTTACCAACCACACTACTGGCTAGCCCAAGAGTTCCTAGCGCCTTGAGAAACATGCCATGTACATGTGTATACATGCCCGAAATCCTGAGAGGAAAATGGAGGAAGGATTGTGATTTGGCCATTCCACAAGGGGTGATCTCTCACTTTCTCTCTCTCTTTCCAGTGAGCACACGTACCTTAGAGTAAAACTGAAAAAAGTTTGTAGGAAATAGAATTAAAGTCTGAGTTCATTTTGGTATCAATTTTTTTAAAAAAAATCAACACAGTTTTTTCATAATACACATACACTATAAACATTTTGAAGACTTTTTCAACATATGTACACATAAACAGAATGCTAAAATTTATGTGTATAGGGGCAGCAGGTGGAGCAGTGGTTAAGGCACTGGACTCCCACATGGTAAACTGCAGTTTGAGTCCCAGATCCGGTGGCTTGAGACTCATGCCAGAGTGTGTGTGCCCAAGATACCAAAAGGAAAATAAAGGAGAAGGGATTGCAGCATGGCCATCTCCCCAGGCGGTGATTTCTCATTAT